TTGCCGCCCACCCCCCCCCCCCCTTTTTAATGTTTTTTTTTCTTTAGAAAATAGTTTTATTGGTGGCTATTCACTGAGAAGAGTCTTCGAGTGCATTTTGGCAGTACGGCGTGTCTGTTGCGGGCGGCCAGACAGACATAGGGGCAGACGGCAGGGGAACGGGAGGGCCGTGCGGTACATGTGACGCGTGCCGCTCCGTCAAGATGGTCACATGCCAGAGGCTCCCAAGCCCATGCTCGCCGCGTGGCTCATGCACGGCAGCGTCTGCACAGCTTTGGGGAAGTCATGTGTGACAATCCGCCCGTTCTCCCCGCCGCTACCATTCCCACTCATCCTGGTCAGCGTGGAGCAGCGCATGGCGTCATTGATGGATTGCTGGGATGGAGACACAACAGCGTTAGACAGGAATACGGAAATACGCGCAGGACTGTTTGAAAGATGCTCAATTTTAGTAGGAGACAGTAAAAGATGATTTAAGCATCTGCCTAATGGAGTATGCACATTGCCATGTGATGACTGGATAATTAGTTAAGACAACATTTGTGAAGTGAACTAATCTGCAGGCCTATGCCAACAGATTTCCATCTTTTGGGTTTCCTGACTGTAATTGATCAGCAGGGTGGCTTGGGAGGGGGGGGGTGGGCTTTAGCAAAGCAAACAGATGAAACACTAATGAAACTTTTCCGATAATGATGCATTTTGGGAAACAATCCAATATTAGCCATATTGCTATTAAATAACAACATTTGCTCTACCAACCTACCAATTCCACAACACGGGCTCATTGGGATAACGTGCCTACCTACCTACATTTGTACAAAACTCAAAAAATGTACCTATACATACAATTCACTGCAGTTTCCAGCTGAAACGTCCACTAGTGGCAATAAAACAGTGACAAATTGTATTACTTTTGGCATATTATCAATTAATAAATACATATTTTTGTGTGGTTCCTTGCACAATGCTATGTTATTACCACAAAACACTTTTACCATACTGCATGATTTTAAAATGAATACGCAGAACCAACTCCATATATGGCTTTCTTGTAGTAAACTTGCTCAGTAGCTCACCTAGTAACGTGTTACACTTTGGATGAGGAGTTTTTTTAATTTGTAAATAAAAATTATTGGAGTATGTTTTACAATAAATATAGTATTTTGGCCTTTCCACTTTAAAATTTCAGTTTCTTTGCAAATATTTCCAAAATTTACTAGCAATTACGTTATGTTGTTTCAATGTAAATCCTATACCATTTTTATTCGGTGTAGAAGCAAGCTAAAATGGCATTCCTTCAATAAATGCACTGTTCACATTTCATTTTGTTAAAATCGGTTAGGTTTAGGGTAGCATGTAGTGTCATTTGAACATAGAGCATTAATCTTTTAGCGCCGGATATTTCCAAACTGACACAATACATACAACAACCAGTGTAATAAAAGAGACACCTTTATCTGTCTCTGATAAAACCGAATGCTTATTTAGCGACACTCACTGGACATTTCACTTTAAAAGTGACGCAAAACATGCAAGAAGCTGCAAAATATTTAGCAGAAATGTCACCACAGGCATGTTTTTCCAATGAGCTCGAGTTGCAATTCCTTGCTTTACTACCCATAACTGTACTAAGCACTTGTGTTCAAAGCTATGGGAATGAACCGTATTTGCATTAAAGATGTGTTGTGGGCTAATGCTGTTGTGTTGTCAAGTTTTAATTGCTTGGCTAATGCTGTTGCATTGTGCCCCCCAGGACCACCGTATTTAGGCCCTCAAAACCAAAGCTGACACTGTAAAGCATCTCTGACGTGGGTAGACAATAAACAGTCTTGATAGGCATGTAATACGAGCTTAATTTGCTTCGGTGGTGTGGAAGTGAGAAATGTCATCGTTTTATTGCTGTTCCGCAATCCGCGATTGTAGTCGCAGCTAGTGGGCCTGAAACCAAGGCTAATGATGTGTCCCTTTAAATCGCATTTTTCCAATCTAGGAATGATTTCATTGCCCTACACTTCAGCGCGTTGGGGGATGACGTTATACGCCTGATGCAGACTAATTAGTTCGCCTATAATGACTCAGATTCCTGCTCGCCTAATATGAAAAATGGACAGCTGTGAAATGTGACTTCTGTCAATTGAATTAACAAAGCAAATCTATATTAATCTTTGCTATTATAATATTACACGAGTGTGTAATACCCAGCTAAACGTGTTACAAATCCTACTTTGGGTAATTGGCTGTCATAAAGATACTTATTACAAAAATCACACTGAGGTGTGATCTATATGTGCAACAGATACCATTTATTGGGGACCTTTTTTTTGCAATGGGGTTTCTTTGATTTGTCAGTCTGGCCTGTTAGGGAAGCTTGTTTTTGCCATAGGATAAAAATAGATGTAGTATGTAAATTCTAAATTTTGAGAAAAAAATTCAGTCTAGTCAGTTAAAAAGTCGCAGTTACCTTTTTTAAAAAAAATCCACTGTGGAAACAGGCTTCCAAAGGCTGTAGGTTGCTTGTTTATGATAGGTACTTTTAATCAACTATGCATTAGCAAAAGTACGTTAGGTAAGATCTGACATGGGTCTTATTGTATAAAGGAGCACACGAGCTGACTGATGCATAATCACGAGTGTAGACTGACTATTTTTGGAGTCATGGTGGAAAACAGAGACCTGCAGGGTCTCCGGGGAACACTTGCTCTGTTTCATGAATGAACAGAGACACGATGTGTATAAACAAAGCTCTAGTCTATGGACAGAGTGGCTAGCGGACAACGGGAAACTGAGGGAGAGAAAGAAGTAATGAGAGATTAAATTAGAGTATTTAATAGGGCTGTCAAGATGTAGTCTGCATGCTTGCATACACTAACTATTAAAAATAAATGATAAAATAATAAAAACTATTTTTAATATATATTTAATATATAATTACTTACAATAAATATTAAAACATTAATAAAATATTGTCTATTACATTTTATAATATATTACATTTGGGGACATTTTTAGCAAATATATTTTGATTAACATTATTAAATAATCATATTAAAATATTTATTTTAATTATTTTATAATTAATGTTTTATTTATTTACATTTTTGACAGCCCTACTATTAAAATAGAAGTGTAAGAGACAGAAAAAGAAGAGGTGAGGAGAAACGGATGATACTGAAAGTGGGCAGCAGAAGCTTTGAATCTGGAAACGGTTAGATGGGGGGCAGGTTAGGCTGCTACGTGGGCAGGATGTGGCCTAGTTCTCTGCAGTACTCGAGGTTCCTACCCCAGAGTGCTTTATATCTTAACAGTGTCGGCACCGTACAGGCCGTAACTCTGCAGCTCAGTGTAGCTGCTGTCTAAGGCGGTGCAGTGAAAGGCCTGGGCGGCCCGCTCAGACACCTTCATTCTGTGGGACTCTGTTCTGGACTTGTAGCAGAACTCCACCAGGGCCACCAGCATGGCCAGGCCCAGACCGCCGATCAGAATGTAGAAAACCCCAGCCACATTGCTGAGGCTAAGAGCACTGGTCTTGTCCTACAGGAGAAGGAAAAATGTCTTAGATGAGAGTTACTGGATAAAATTGTAACAAATTCACACGGACAAAGACAATAGAAGCATTCCTATACATTACATATACACATTTATGCATTCATCCAACAATCTAAACATATACAGAGAATATAAAAGCTAAAATGAGAACTATCTTGAATAAAGTGCAAAAAATACTGTGGCACCAAATGTAGTGCTATAATCATTTGCTTAAAATGTTTCCTGCTCATCTGAGTATAAAATATCATGAATATTGATGAATTTAAATATTTATTTTCTGTTTTGGACTGCTGAACTTGCATTATTGCTAAATGATATTCATAAGAAATATTCATTATGAAAATCCAATTATGTTAACTTGTGTAACTAATATAATTTTAATAATAAATACTAGTATTAAATACTAATAATATCATTCAACATTATTACTAAATAATATTAACTAGTACATACAGTTATATAATGTTAATACAATTATATAAAAATGACTGGTATAACTACTATAGGTTAAACTCATGTTAAAATATTGCACAAATTGTCATTTAAAATTTAAACTGTCAAATTTAATTTAAAATTAGGAACATGAAATTTAAATTTGTTAAATTTAATTTAGAATTACGAACATGCATTCATGCACTAACACTGGCAGTCTATGTCCACCTTCTACTAATTTTTCATTTATTCAACCTGCTAATTAGCATCGCCACTAATTTACAAGCTACTAAACAATCACATACAATATCACAGCTGCACATGACGGTATTAGAGGTTGGCACCCATGCAGCCCAGGTCATTAATCTAAGGAGATTTGGATTTGTACTTAATCAAAGGTGATATAATAACAGTCTTGGTGTGGAACCGGTTCTCTAAGAAAGGCCCATAAGAGAGGTGTGCTTTCGTCTGTGTGTGCCATGCAGGTGGGTTTTGGTGTGGTGGGGGTGTGTGTCGGCCGGGGCCTATGACAGCACAGACAGCTGTCCACTGGGTTTGCATCCAAATACATGCACACTCCAAGGGCAGACAGGAGGGAGAACACAGAGGCTGAGGACCACAAGGGAGGCTTGACTCTTACGGATGATCAGAGCAATATGACCAGTCTCTCTCCAGAGCTCCATTCAGACCACCAAGCTATTTTAAACAAAGTGAGTGTATTATACAGTGAATCATCCAGTCTATAATAATGGGCTTTCTCTTCACGCCTCCTAGAGCTAGACATACTATTATTTACACTTGAATTAATAATAAAAAATTTATCAGATTTAAGGTGTGTATATACTGTAAGTGCAAAAGGTAAATGCAAAAACAACTGTCAGCATATATATATATATATAAAACACATATATTTAACCATGCTGCCAAAATGTCTAAATCTATTATAAACATACACCTAAAGTCTGTAATTTATGACGGTACAAAATAATGGTTGGAAATGTTCTGAATAGTATACTAATATACTACCTCTTCAGTTTAAGAAATTGGTACATTTTTACAGCAAGGATGCATTCAATTTATCATAAAAGTGACAGTAAAGACTTTTATAATGGTACAAAAGATTTCTATTTGAAACAAATCTATTTTGAACAAACTTTTTTGAACTTCATCTATCTATCTATCTATCTATCTATCTATCTATCTATCTATCTATCTATCTATCTATCTATCTATCTATCTAATGGATATACTCATGTAATGTTACTCACATAAATGTGTACAGTGCTAAAGTTCATTTATTTACTTATTTTGTATGCTATTTATTATTATTATGTTTATTATTATATTTTATATATTTTCATTTTGATTCATTGTGGGAGAATTTTGCAATTGCATTAAGCTCTTTGTTAACGCTTTGTAAAAAATTACAAATAAATACAAAAATAAAATAATATTAAGCAGCATAACTATTTCCAAAATGGATAATATTATTGGTGCTAGTTTCTTTAGCACCAAATCAGCATAACATGTTTTCACACAAAATGATAATAAAATAACAAAATTTTAATAAAGCAAAAATGCAGTTTCTTCTACCAAAATGGCTTCCGAAATGAAAGAATACAACCCTGGAGAGAGAGTAAGAGCCGTCCATGTCCAGATTCCTAACTGAACCTTCTGGAAGGGTACTGAGAGGGCTAAACTGCAGGGAACAGAGCAGGACCAAATATGTGAACTGACCTTTCTTCCGGAGTCCTTGCTTCCACACTCCCCCTTATCGTACCACCATTTGTTTTTCAGTTTGTCTAAGACGGCTTGCTCACTGAGTTTCAACACCGCTAGGTTAACTGGGACTCTTCAACCAGGAAAATAACATAAATAACATTATCCATGTTATTTTATGTTATTCAGCACACATTAAACACATACCCATCAATATCAACTCAACTGTTCTGATTCTTTTTCTTTTTTAATTGACTGCACACATATCAGAAACATGTTGGTAGTTCATTGTAAAAGTGATATGGGTTAATACTCCATCTAGCGATGCTTCCTTGCTCCCTGCTGCAAGATGTGTATTATAATATCACTTTGGGTAACCGGCAGACCGCAAACACTCCACCTGGAATAATGTGAACGTGGTCAGCTATTATTGACCAGTTGCCATGATATGCCATAATTTGATCAAAATGTACTTGCTATTTATTAATCAACCAAAATGTGTAAGAAGTAAGCTCAGTTTAGGACAGATTGTTTCGCTCTAGAGTGTTTAGTCGGCGTGAGTTGCCGGTTACCCCCCCATGGTAGTGGTGGTTTTACCCGCTGGGTTTGTCACATTGGGGCTGACCTTGGAATCACCTCCTCCGCTGCCACACTCTCCCTTGTCGTACCACCATTTGTTTTTCAATTTGTCCAACAGGCCTTGTTCATTCAGTTTTAACACTGCCAGGTTTACTGGGTTTCTTGAAACGATAACGAAATAATATTTTGGTCAGTGTCAGCCCAGATAAACCATTTCAGAGACAGCGTGATGGGAAAACAGACTCAGACTGGTTTGAACACAACAGCCACTGCTCTATGTAGGTTGGAATGTTAAATGCATGGCATCTGCAGTGGTTTTGTCCTGAGTCTGTATATAAAGTATGTTAACGTGCATTAATGGAAAACAATGCTTTTGTTAGTGGCCTTTGTGAAAGACAGGTTTTATAAAGCCAGGAAAAAGACTTCTTTAGACAGAGAAGGAGAAAAAAAGTGTTTACTGTCTGCTTTTGGCTCTTCCCTTTTGGTGAATGTGACAATGTGAATCGAAAACAACAGCCTGGAGACGTTAGATGAATTCTTACAGGGATAGTGCACCCCAAAATAAAAACTCACCCGTAGATCAAATTCTTTCTTTCTTTTCTTTCCTTGTTCTGTCAAATACAGAAGGAAATGGCAGAATGTTCACGCACACAGTGAAAGTGAATGGTGAACAAGGACTTTCAAAAAAGTACCACAACAGTTGTTCATACTGAATGACTGTGCACTATTTTCCAAGTCTTCAGAAGTCGTGCATTGTCAACTTCAGCTCTCAAAACTAGCATAGATTCTTGTTTGTATAAAATGTGGATTTTAACAAGTTAATATGCAATACAATCTATGTCTGTCATGCAAGAATATATGACATGAATATGCCATTTTAGAAGAGTGTGAATGTTCGGTAACACTTTATTTTGATGGTCCTCAGATCTTCTGTTGACTAATAAGTAACTTTGCAACTATACATATCAACTAACTCTCAGAGTATTTCTAGGCTGTCTGCTTAATATCTGCTAACTTTACTTTGATGATCTCCAACAGACATTCTACTGACATGTTGACTTATTCTACTCACCCTAACCTTACAGTCTACTAATACTAGGGTGACCATACGTGGCATTTTTACGGGACACGTCCTGGCTAGGATTTGTATATTGCCTAAAATATCCAGGTTTTGGTTGTTTGCGCTGCACAGACTGATCAGTGTATGACATCCTTGAGAGCTATAGAGAGAGCAGACGGCTCCTTATGCTTTCCAATCGCTCTTGCGCTACTTTAATGTCATTCAATGATCGGTCTACACAGAGCTGCTTCAAGTCAAATTAACAAATCTAATCTGTACACGTATTTGCATCACTTTGACCGCTCTCTGTAGATCCCATCTTCTCAAGCGCCACGATTGGTTGATTATGTACAATGCCTGCACATTATTGGTCAAGCTACTTTCCGATCATTACCTTCAGCAAGTATGAAAACAGGAAAATAAAGCCAAATATCGAAATCCTGGCCAGGACATGTCCTGTAGAAATGGCACGTATGGTCACCCTAACTAATACTCTACTAATGCTCTAATGAGGGTTAGTTGACATGTAGTTGCAAAGTTACTTATAGTCAAAAGAATGTCTAAAGGAGACCATCAAACTAAAGTGCAACCAAATGTGCTCTAGAACCTGGAGCATTACATTAGAGGTACACTCTTAAAAATAAAGGTGCTTCACGATGCCATAGAAGAACCTTTTTTGTCTAAATGGTTCCATAAAGAACCTTTAACATCTGAAGAACCTTTCTGTTTCACAAAAAGGTTCTTTGTGGCGAAAAAAGGTTCTTGAGATTATAAAAAGGTTATAAAGAGATGGTTCTTTAAAGAACCTATGACTGAATGGTTCTTTGTGGAACTAAAAATGGTTCTTCTATGGCATCGCTTGAAGACACTTTTGAAGCACCTTTATTTTTAAGAGTGTAGTCTCAGCCTCAAACGTCATGCCCATTGATTGTTAGCTGAATTTCTGATGCATAAGGCACACAGAATGGGAAACACTTTGTAGTTTCAAAGTCTTCATCTGATTGGTTGGATTCTACATGATTTCCGCAAGACGTGTGTCACATTCTTTAAGTGTCTGCCTGGAAACAAACCCGTTGTGATGCCAATCCTCCTCATGGAAGAAGAAAGCTGCCGTGTTTAAAATTGTGACAATAAGTGCTTTTCAGGACCAACTAAACACGGGTTTTCAAAAGTATGTCAAGTTCACATCACCATTGTTGCAGTAAACTAGCACAATGTTCTTGAATTAATAATTTATTAGATGCATGTCATACGGACTACATTTATGGTGATTTTTGACATTTTTGGAGCTTAGTCACCATTTACTTTCATTGTTTTGAAAGGAGCAGCATGAGCATTAAACTAAAGTTGTCTTATCTTAAAAAAAGCAATAAGAAAAGGGTTTGACCAACATAACAGTAGATGATGACAAAATTTTAATTTTTGATTTTAATTCCCCTGCCCCACATGACTGATTT